AGACAGAGGGAGACACGCAGAGGGTCAGCGCAGCCCCGCTCCGCAATACAGCCACCCGCACACACATCACCAGGTTTTGCCTTGGCTTGCTAATAGTATTATTATTAATTATTATTATTATTATTCCTATCTCTTAGAGAAACACCCAGGGACTTTTAATGACCACAGAGAGTCAGGACTTCGGTTTTGTGTCTCATCTGTAGGACGGTGCCATTTTACAGTGGCATTTTACTTGTTTTATAGTGTCCCCACATCATTAAACTGGGGCATTACTGGTTCCTCTAATACTCTAATACAGCAGCTGCCTTCGCTTCCCCAGGAACTGGCCAGGCTCACACCTACTGAGCTTAAGTGGGCTGTCAGCTGTGAGTTGCAGGGTGAAGTGAGCCGAAATGTCTCAGAAGTATCCGTCTCCCTGTGTATCTAATTATTCGTGTACACATACATGGTGTGGGTTTCCAGTAGTTCTGCACACAACAGCGGCTTCCACTCACAGCTCTTAAGGGCTTCCTCAGCTCTTGCAGGGGAGGGCGGGAAGTGAAAGGCAGCCAGTTCCTCATCATCAACGGCCACACCTTGGCGTGACCTTTGAGGCAAGAAGGGTAGCCGATCATCTAGCTCGGGATCCAGGTAGGGCCCCTCCTCCTCCTCCTGCCCCGCCTCCTCCTCCTCCTCCTCATCTGATTTGAGCCCCTCGAAGGGGGCGGAGTCAGAGGGCGGAGTCTGCAGCATCCCGGGGGAGGCCACGCCCACATCTTTCTCTGTGGCACACCAGTAAAAACAATTGGGAGTAAGACACACATCGGTACTATTACTGGCAAAACTAACGAAGGAAGCAGTTGTGTATCCCAAGAAAAACTGGTCTGGCATGAAGAAGCAAAATCATCACACCATAGTGCTATAAAAAGGTCCAAATGTAGGTGAACCGCTACGAACAACAGTTTACTGCACGACTCACAGCGAAGCCACATAAACACAAATGCACAGAGGAAATGGGAGGGCAGCATGCAAAGGAGTTTCAGAGAAGGCTTGTTCCTCGGGGTCACCTGGGGACTGGACGCTGGCCGTGGATATGTGGTCCGAGTCTTTGCTCAGTTTGTGGTGCGCAGTGGTGCTGATCAGGTCAGCGTCATCTCGCTCGCTGCTGAAAGAGACAGTGCTGGGGAATTAGACATCTCACACTTTCAAAACGCCAACGCGTGATCTCTCCTTCTGCTCATCGGCTCCTTCTACACCTCCAAGACAGAACGTCTCACAACTGCGAGTAACAAGACCTTGCTTCTTTCAAAGAAATCTCTATATCTAAATAAGAAAAAATGGTGCTGGGAAAAAGCAAAAGGCTCTTTGACTTATAAACAAGACATACTTTAAAGAACACAAATATGTGGTAACTTGTAAGTGTGGAAACTGCAGTAATAAAAACAGGACAAGTTACTTCCCGGCTTCTTTGATTTTCTTTTTAAGGGCTGCAAGCTGACAGCTGACAGCCTGAAGTTTTGAATCTATCACTGCAAACGCACTCTCAAGATCAGATAAGGAGAAAAGCAGAAGGGCTTACTCAGGCTGAGGTAAGGGTATGACATTGTGTGGCTTTGTTTTCATGGAGTCGGCCCTCTGCGTGATCAGGTACTGCCACCTAGTGGAGAGAGGAGGAGAGGAAGGTAAGTGACAGGCCTGAGGTGACGAGATCACTGCGCGAGCGTGGCGGTGGGGCACACTCACGTTTTCTGCTCTGACACCGTCTGAGCCATCAGCTCGTAGATCTGAGCCCCGTTGTCCGACATGGAGAGCACAAAGAATGACTTGTTATCTGTATGGAGACAAGAAAGGGCCAGATCCAGGTCACCCACAGAAAACCAACAGGGCAGCTCCGAAAAGCATGATCTTGACGGCCAGGTTCAGCAAAAGCCCAGCATTCGCGGATGTTCGGCACCTTGAAGTCTTCAGGAATGGAAAATGGCATGGCTCCTCTGCTTGTGAAGCAGGCATTCTGTTGTAATATTTGTGCTATAACTGCTAACTACAGTATTTCAGAAATAATGTCTTGGTAGTATTTATAAAGAAAATGAATACTAGAAATAAAAAAAACATTGTATTCCTGCTATAATTCAAGTTATTGCATGTGCAAGGTTTCTGCAATGTTATAGCTCACTCCGTGTTAAGAGATCTTCTAGATCTACTAGATTTCTTTCCTAGTAGAGTGATTTTCTTACATCTTGTTTTTATTAATACTGTAAATGCAGCATTGCTGTACTGCAATGAAGTTACAGCACAGTAACAACAGACAAGAATGTAAATGTGTACTCACTCCCTTCTCACTCAACCATATATCACTGCCCTGCTCCTGCGGTTTGTCTGATTCTCTTTCTTCTCATTTATCGTGTTATTCTTTCCCACAAGACATGTGAGAACTGAGACTGAGATATTTTTCACAACACTCACATACAGGTATTACTCTGATAACAGGCCTACACCCACCACACATCCCATGCTTTCTTGACAAAGACCGAATGACTAAACCCTAACCCACGATGCACTGCTGCATAAGCTCGTGAACTCTTCTTTAACCAAGCTGGGACTGCAGAGACCGACACAGGTCGTGTGAAGCAGATATACGAGATGAAGATGCGCAAGGGGGGCGCCTGCATTTACTCTCCCACCGCGCAGCTCACCAGGAGGCGATTCTGATCTGCTAATCTGAAAAAAGTGATCACAGAGAATCTCGTGCGAGTAGGCAAAACCACTAATGTAGAACTCGCAAATAGCAAGGTGGTACTGTCATTATTTTTGCTGCAGCACACTGCTGTCAAATTCCACAACTTCCTACTGAGAGGGTGGAAACCACGATGCTCTGTGAGAAGTGTAGAGACCTCGGCGTGCCAGCAGCAGCGAGGAGCCAGGAGAAGGGCACGGCGGCGGCTCACCTGTGGCCACCGAGCGCACCAGGACGGTGTTGAGCTTGATGATGGGGCTGAAGATGTGCTTGGTGTCCGCGGTGCCGGCCAGGTTCTTGCTGTGGCACTTGAGGATGAGCCGCTCGTCCTGCTTCTGCAGGAGCACGAGGATGTCCTCCAGGAGGAGCGTGTACAGCTCTGGAGGGGGCGAGGGAGAGGGAGAGGGAGAGGCGGAGGGAACATCAATAGCTGTACAGGTTTCGGGAGGATTTTCACGACGCCGGGGCAGAACTCAATCGGGGCATCAGAGCTCAGTTTCTGCCCTGTTATTTAAGAACCTCGCACTAGAAAAATGAATCTTCAGAGCTCCGATTCTCTATCTTGTCATTTGCAGTTGTCCCCCCACTTATATTACCCACTCATGGATGGGGACAGACACTGATCACAAGCCAAGCGAGTCTTAAAAACAAGGCAGTGTAAAGAGACGGGCAGCGTTTACAGGCAATATGCACTAAGTGTAGAAGCAACAAAAGGTGCAGAAATAATGTTAAATGTGTAATATTTTTACTGATCTAGTTCTAGAAACTCAACATGAAAATCTGCTCTGTGAGTGACAGATTAAATCCTGCAGTGTCCTTTGAGGGCCTACCGATTGTCTTGTCCTTGTTGACCTTCCAGGACAGAGGTCCCTCATGGATCATCTTCCGCTTGGTCAGGTCAAGATTCTGATGGAGGAGGGACAACGGGAGATTTCATCAAGGCAATTCCCAGTGACAGGCAGAGCTCCCCAATTCCAAAACTCTTCCGCCCCCTCCCACCACACTCTGCGGCACTTCCTAGAGAACTCAAACTTTGACTCCGATGTGGAAGAAGCAGGAGGAATTCTGAAACTGAGGAATGTTAAATTATTCCAAATGTATTCCAAGATCTCGTTTTCTCAGATGGAGTGTTACTGCTTAAACCTTAAAAAACCTTTTTAACAGAAACCTTAAAAGGAAATTATCTCGGAGCTGGTGTTGTACTGAAAAGCTAATGGTGTCCCAGGACAAAAAAAACCTGAAGCCACCTTTGTCCTTTTCACCCCCCAATCTAGGGAACCCACTTCTTAGGGCAGCTCCCAGTCTTGAGTTCTGTTTTAACCAGAGCGTTAAAGAGCTGAGGGCAACACTGTCATCTTTGTTAATGCTGCAGTCAGCCGACCTGCCAAAATCAGAAACATTAGACTCAGAATTAGGCTTCTGGGAGAGCTTGTCACGGATATTTAGCGCAACAACCACCACTCTTTTATTAGATTATATTATATACTGATCTGTAAAGAAGAAGCCCTTATACTGAGGAAAGGATGAAGGATGCCTTGGTGTTTAACGTCATTCAGGAGGTCTTGCACCTCACTGTTCCCCCCCTGGTTCTTACCTTGAACTCCGAGATCATGGGGTACTCGCTCTGCTTCAGGGAAGAGAGGTCCAGTCTCCGCTGGTAGTCCTCCAGTCTCTGAGAGAGAGATGGACAGACACACATCAGCACCACAAAACTGCCCACCACTGCACTATACTAAAGCTCCTTTACATGGAACAGTATTAAACTGTTTCGAAAATCCTTGGGTTTGATTTATCTTATCACAGTTCCAAAACATACACCACTCTACAGTGCTATAAGTGCATCATTTTCATTACAGCTACATTTCTAATTGAAGTTGTAACATATAATTCACTTTACCAATTATTACCAATTACTTTGGTAAGGAACAGCAGATAAACACACACACACACACATTGCCTGGCTTTTTACATGACATTTAAATGCACAGTGCTTTTGTTAAACTGGGCTGAATGAGCATCACAGTGTGAAGATCTTGGAAGATAGGGTGTGTGTGTGTGTGACTGTTCAATGAATACTTCAGTTTAGTTTTCAAAGGGTATTTCCCTCCCACAAGCAGGTGCCCAGTTTGAGCTGCTGTAACTAACTCAAGGTTTTTGGAAAAAGAAAGATTTTTGCGCGGCCCACGGTTTCATCCTGAAGTCACAGGCCTTGCAGTAAGACGTCCTGCAGGATGGCTGGACAGGGGCTGGGCGTGTTGCACTGCCCCCTGCTGGACACCCCCTACCTGCTTGTTCTCCGACTCCTTGACGGCCTGGTTGACGTAGTTGAGGATCTGTCGGCAGCACTCGCCAGCCCTCTTCACCTTCTCCCTCTCCTCCGCGTCCTCTGCACAAGGACAACAGCTTTAGCGGACACAGAGCCTTAATTCTGACATGGCACCTCATAGGGCTTTGGGAAAAACAAGCCAAAGTTATGCCAAGGAAAGAGACAAGTTAGAGCACTATGCTGTCTGGACACATCTGTCTGCTGCTCCACCCAATCCTGCCTCTGCTTAATGATGTCACATCTGGCCATAGAGGGATTCGTCAAATGAGACATCCTCCCATTGACTGCTTCTTAATATGCTCGTCGGCTGTTAGACCAGAGACATGTGTCTTTCATCTTGCGTGAGTATTGTTGCAACGAGCTCGGCACGCCTGCGAGTTCCTGGAGTTCCTCCATGGCAGAGACAGGCAACTCAAGTGTCAACTTGGAGTTGCTACTGGAATTTTCCATTTGCAATTAATTAAGATCCGTACAAAAAACAGGTGATTCAATTTATTTTCCAAATAATTAATGGAATGGGAATGTAGCTTTTTTAGCAGCATCTGTATCACCCTGAAACTCGCGACTGGCAACCAACTCAACGGGTGTGAGCCTGGTCAGTACCTGGACGCGAGACCTCCTGAGAAAAAACAAGGTTGCTACTGGACTAGGTGTAAGTATGACCAGTAGGGGGCGCACACCCTGCGATCTGTGTGGGTCCTAATGCCCAAGTATAGTGATGGAGACACTATACTGTAAAAAGGGCGCCGTCCTTCAGATTAGATGTAAAACTGAGGTCCTGACTCTCCATGGTCATCAAAAATCCCAGGGCGTTTCTCGAAAAGAGAAAGGGTGTAACCCTGGCATCCTGGCCAAATTTCCCCCTGGTCTTTACCAGTCATGGCCTCCTAATAATCCCCATCTCTGAACTGGCTTTATCACTGCTCTCCTCACTGAGAGCTGGTGTGTGGTGAGAGTACTGGCGCATCATCCAGGTGGTGGTGGATGGGATCCCCATTACCTGTAAAGCGCTTTGAGTGGAGAGTCCAGAAAAGAGCTATGCAAGTGTAAGGATTGGTAAGAATTATAGAGCACTTGTCAGCCCACTCCTAAACATTTCACTGACTGTGAGAAGTACTCCAGGGCTGATGAAGTAATCAAAGCGCTTCCCAGAGACAGTGTGAGAGTGAGCGCCTCTTGGAGCAGCACCAGCCAGGCCCAACCTGTGTTCTTGGCGATGTTCTCCAGCAGCAGGGGGTACTTGGTCAGCCTCTGCATCTCCACAGGAATGATGTCCTTCAGCTGCAGCCTGCGACACAGCCGGTTGCTCTCCGCCTCCTGCAACACAGACCGCAACGGCACGGTCAGGGCAGGCCGACTCCACCGACAAGGCCAGAGCCCTGCAGACCACACCGGGGAGCACAGAGCTTCACGGATGGACCCAGGGCATCCGAGTGCCACTACCAGCAGGAAACACAAGCTGATAACTTTGGATATACAGCAACACATAGATAAGGACAAAATACACAAGTAGCTCTGATAGGGCTGCTTTTCAAAGACCACGAGTGCTCCTTTTTCACTCGTTTCCAATCCTGGTCCTGGTGACCTACACGTCTGATGGTTTTCATTTGATAACTGAAGCCTTAATTGACCTAAGAAGTTGCTTCACTGGAATATTTGCATTATGTTTCTAGTCACACGTTTGGGACTTTACTTCACTTACAAAATACAGTGAAACAAACAGTTAACTTATTTTTCTTATTATTAAGTAAACGGAGGGTTTAACTGGGCATTGAGTACTTTCACACTTCCCCTTGAGGACTTTGACAGATCCACTCTTATCAGCTTCACAAGATGCTGCCGAGCCAAACCATTAATAAAAAGTTTAAGTACCATACCTGGTTCCCGCCAAGCATGTATTCTGCTGAGAGAAAGGAATGGTGACGCACTGTGAAAGTCAATCTCCCAGCTCAAGCCCAAGCGTCGGCACTCACCTGCATGAAGGCCGTGAACCGAGAGTCCTTCTTCTTCGTCTTGATCAGCTCCAGAGCGAAGGGCTGGTTGCTGCAGAAAGTCCCGACCGCCCGCTTGATCTTCTCCTCCTCCCCGCCGCTGAACTGGAAAACCAATCCCGACACATCCAGGTCAGGCCGGCAGTCGCCACGGCAACGCTGCCCCCCCCACCCCCACCCCGTCGCCGGAGTGACGCCTCATTCGCCCAGCCTAAGGCCCAGTGCCGCGCGCTCACACACAGGGCCGCGTGTCAGCCCTAGAGACACTCCCCCAGCTCCCACTGGGGAGAACTGACAAGAGCTTCCCCCAATGAGCGCCTGCCTTTTTGAAAAGAGTCACGGAGGAAATAAACATTTTTAATAAAAAAAAAATACAAAAAATCAAGACTAATATCATATGAACATATGGACACAGTTATCACATATTTCATAAACATATGAACACAGTTTCAAGGAAGAGCAGATTTTTGCAGCCGTGCAAAACATGCTCCCCTTCTTTTTTTCCCCCAAACAGAAAACAAATTTAATTATCCAAATTACATTTAAGCAAACGGTAGCGGAGCCGCAGAAGAAAAGACCACTTTCCCCCAACACCTGATTAGTGTTCTGTATATCTGGCTCTCTGAATCCGAGCTGCCGCACAAAGCCCAGAACTTTACACTTCCTCTCACCCAGGACAGAAGGTCATCTCCAATCTGGTCAATCACAGACGTCTCGTTTTTCTTGCGGATTGTCACCATTTGTTCGCTTATTGAAACTACAAGACACAGAGAGGGAGAGAGCATTACTACGCAGCAACCAGCAACAGGATCCAGACAGGAGGCAGAACAGTATCTATAACAAGGCCTAGTGATCGTACAGGGTCTATAAAGGGGTACAGCATGATGTTTAACATAAAAAAAAAATTGGGGGTGCCCAGGCACAGAGCTGGGACGCGGATCGGATCTGGGGGGTGCCCAGGCGCAGAGCTGGGACACAGATCGGATCTGGGGGGTGCCCAGGCGCAGAGCTGGGACACAGATCGGATCTGGGGGGTGCCCAGGCGCAGAGCTGGGACACAGATCGGATCTGGGGGGTGCCCAGGCACAGAGCTGGGACACAGATCGGATCTGGGGGGTGCCCAGGCACAGAGCTGGGACGTGGCTGACTGTACCGTGCAGCTGAAGGATCTCCTCCAGGTTGGCGAAGATTTGCTTGATTTCTCCGAGGGACAGGATGGCCTCCTGAGAGAGCTTCTGGTAGAAGACGCGGTCCAGCACACGCAGCATGCGCAGGTGAGCGCGCTCCGTGTAGAACAGCTCTGTCAACGGCAGCAGCCTGGGGTCAGAGGTCAAGGCGAACCACACGCACGCGCCCTGCGCTAAGGGCCATTACAGTACTGGAACAGCAGAGGGCAGTGAGACGTAACACAGCATAATAATCGACTGAGCCCGATACTCGGCCATTCTTGCCAGTGGAATTACGTAATTAGATATTATTGAGTTGAATTATTGACAATAGCCAAATGACTGTCTTTGAGCTCTATAAAAATCTTCTGAAGGAAAAGACAAAACAGATAATGGGAGATGTAAGTCACCCCCTTTACAACAGGTTGCGTAGCTATAACAGAATGGGGAGCAGCCTTTGCAACACAAGATAAACACCAACAGACACAGAAGCTCTTTGGTTCCTGCAGCAATAATATTGTGCAATAACACTGTCAAATGAGCACTTCCAGTGCATTTACAATCCCATAAATGCTAAAATGTAAAGACTCAATGTAGTATTGTATGATCTATCTTCTATCTTGTTTTTCTGTACTTGTATGCAAGTCTTTTTCTTTTAAAAGGTTGTGACAGATATATTGACAAATGATATTCCCAGGTTTGGGATAATATGGGTCTTCTAATCTTCTATCAAGAAACAGCTGGATGACTGGATTGACCAACTTATTAGGGTGTTGGCCCATATGGCCTCCTCTTGTTTGTAACCCATTTGCAAAAGAAGAACGAACGAACCCAGGAGAGCACTTGGAAAATCTGGTTATAGTGCTAAACTCACAATCTTTCAGGTGCAGACTGATGAATAAACAGGGGATCACAGCAACAGAAGGTTCTAGGTGCAAGACAAACTAGGTCCCACTCTAGGTCTTTTTTTTCCCAGTACAGGTTTCAAGGTTGCTCGCACTGCCTTGTTGACGAGACCAGACTCCTACACGACCTTTGACCTCACCATTAATGACTTCCTGCCTCTTGATCTCGTGGGGCGTCAGGCCGGCCAGAACCTCCCGGCTCACCAGCTGCTGCCAGTTCGGTGGGTCCAGCTCAGCGTCGATTTCGTAGCACTGGTCATCCTCACTCTGCACCTCGCCGCCGCTTAGCGTGTCCATCCTGACAGGGCAGCGGAGGGAGAGAGAAGTGAGCGAGGCTGCGCGGCCCGGAGGAAGCCCCGAAGAACCCCTGCAGATGCTAGCCGAACTGCCGCGGATAATTAATTAATTAAATTCATTAATTAAAAAAAATTTAAACAAAATTTCCCAAACGCCGTTACAGCCCTGGAAAGATCAAACTAAATTTAAAAACAAAAGCAAGACGTCACCTTCTGATGGCCTTGGGGGTGCCAACCTCCAGGGTTCTGCAAAGAAACACAGAGATTCAGTCACTTCAGGACTGACTTGGTTTCTTTTCAGTCACAGGGGTCACAGGTCACATGAAGACTGAAGGGGCAAGAAGAAATGCCATTCAAACTCTCCCCTCCCCCCTCTCCAAACACGATTCAAGCAGCATCACAGACCATACGAAGCTGAGTTCTGCTGTTCCAGCTCTAACGCTGCTTATTCACAGCTCCCACTGACGGCTCTCTCCGTCACTCAGTGCCCAGTGGGAGACTGACAGGGACAGGCCTGGCCAGCAGCACAGCGAGGAAAGAGTGGACTCAAGCTCAGCAGCTTCGGGTACCTCAAGCACCAGCTCACACCAGAGCACAATGCATACAGCAAACACACATTTTACCCTAAGCTACGTATTAGTCTGACAAACTAATAAGGACAGATGATATGCTGTTGCCTTACTGCTGTTTTTAATCAAGCAGCTTGTTCTTACAGCAGAAAATTACATTTAACCACAATTAATGTGATAGTGTCACTATGAGCAAGCAAGAACAGATTCCCTTCGCAGGCTGAACACAGTGACTCAAAACGAAAAACCGACAGCTCTGTGACATAGAAGAGAGCCCCCCCCCAGACTTACCACGAGAGATATACCCCCTCCAGCCTTCAGACGGGAGAAAGGAAAGTAACAACAGCGTATGAAAAGAAAACATCAAGCCATTTCAGGAGGCAACGTCGAAAGACAGGCAGAGCTCTGCTCCATCCTCTGGCGAGCTCTCAAAAATAAAGTCAGAGCTGGAACAAATATAGCCTCGGGTGGCTTGGTCTGGCCAAACATTTCTCCCAGGCCCCTGTACAAACTCAGCTCCAGTAACCCAACACCCGGCATGCTGTTGTTTCAACTAATGTGGACTTGGCAGCCAAACAAGATCCTTCGAAAAGCTCCACCCAGAGCCTGCGTCACCACAGACAGGGGGCTGCCCGCAGTTCGCTCACAGAAGGCCACGCTGGGGCCTGTGGTGACCACGCACTCGTTCGCTCGCAGGCAGAGCTCAGCCGCAAGTCCTCACCTGTCCACCTCCCGCTCCTCTTCCGGCAGCTGCTCGAAGCCGGGGATGTTGAAGTCGAAGACCGTGTTGGGGGTCCGGGGCAGGCCATCCACAGAGTCGCCCGGGTGCTGCCCCTCGCCGTGTTTGGGGGCTGCCGAGAACGGGGCCGCACCTGTCCAGGCAGCGGGGAGGGGGCGGTTAACTGGGGCCCAGACCCACTCAAAAGCAGGCGGGGTACAGAGAGGGGCAGGCAGGAGCACTCTGCTGCAGACTCAAGGCTCCGAGAGCAGGAAACTGCTCGAACTGACTGAGAGCAAACACAGGCCGAGGCAGAACCGAGCTTCTGATATTCCAGAAACTTGACGTGTTCAACTCAGAACATTACAAGAAAAATGTTTTTAAATCCCTCCAATTTCTATGCTCTACAGTCATGATGTACAAACACGTCACTAGAACAAAAGCAAAGAATGAACAGCAAAAACAAGAAGCCTGGCTGGACTGTGATTAGGAAATCTACACTAAACATCCAGTTGAATTAGAAAGAAAAATCCACACGTGGAAAACACAGCAAACAAGTCAGAAACATAGTGGGAAGGACAGACAAAAGAGATTTCTGCTAGTGCATATGTCTATGAAAACTGATTATGGAAATGACAGAGGATGAAGAGAAGGCAATGCGGTTATTTAGGCAGGACAAACAAGTCACAGAGTCACAGAGACGCACAGAAAGCCGTACGAGAGGCCGGAGCAGGAAGGGCTCGGGCTCAGGAAGAGGCACGTGCTCCCTGGGTGGGAAGCAGCGCACAAAGCACGGAATAAGAGGGGAAGCGAGAGGGAAACAAAGGGAGAGGAAGCCGAGGAGCGAGACGGGAGCGAAAGGGGGCTGACCAGAGTCGAAGTCGCGCCCCCCCGGCTCGGCGCTCAGGCCCCCGCTGGCGCTGTGGGGAGGCGAGGTGGCGAGAGACGGCGTGTGCGTGGGGTCCGAGCCCTCGCTGGACTGGCTGCCCCGGGTGCGGCCGGCCTCCGGGTGCTCGGGGACGCTGGGGGCCGGCTGGGACATCTGCTTCTGCAGCCGCTTGCCGTGGAGCTCCATGGCGCGGCCTACTGCACACA